ACCTAACCCGATGCCTTGAACGACTATGAGTAGAGAAAAAATTTTGTTGTTAAGTCTAAAAGAAATTTCTCGACAACTCATCATACTGAGGGGAATAGTATGGCTAGGCCGATTCAAATGGTAATCAGTAAAAGTAAATCAAATCCGTTGATAGCTGGGCGTTTGCTAAAAATCCTAAGTGTTAGTCAACTGAGAAGACAGGAGAGCAAGAAGATATGCACGCAAAGTGTTGAAAGCAATAATTGGACAACAAAAGCATAAACTTCATTCATAAAGAAATTTTGAAACAATACATTCAAACAAAGTTAACAAGAATGTCTCAAAATCAATTCAACCAGACAAGCTTAGTCCAGCAAGCTGAAAGATGCAAGCTCGTCCTTAACAGCGGCTAACTCCTTCAGACGGTCCACTCGAACCTGATCCTCTGCTTCCTTTTGGATCTTGGCTTCAGAAGATGCAGCAGCAATAGCTGTTTCTTTTTTATGCAATGCATGGAGAGCTTGCATTTCCCTTTTAACAGCGAGGTAAACGCTCATGCTCTCAAGTTGGGGGTCGTTCAAAGTTTTCTCTTCCTTGACAAGCTGGGCCTTCAGTCGAGCGATAGTGGAGGCAGAAGCGTCCATCGCAACCTGCAATTGGCATTGCTGCCCAAGCAGGTCTACGATGATAGCCTCCTTCTCCGATATACGTTTCGCTCAGGCTTCACGTTCACGCATTATTTTGATCCGAGCTTTGGCTATGATTCGCCATACCTCATTGTGTGATTCGGAAAATGCTAGCCCCTCCACACGATGTGCAATGGCCTCCAGGCGGATGAGCTTTTGTTCACAACGCCTAGTCAGCTGAATGCCACCTACGCGCTGAATGTCCTTCAAACTATTTGCTATGAAGGAATCAAAATCCATGAAGTTGCCCTACCTAACACCAATAATGGAGATTCCTTATTTCATAGCATTCTCCAACAGTTGGAGGAGGCCCTGCACGGATCTAGAGTCCGGGAAAGTAAATTCCTACCCAAGGGAAATCATAGCCATAGGATAGATTAGGGGGAGAGGCCCATCGTCATCAACAGGTAATCTCCATCCATATCCCCTTATGCTAGTCGGGTTAGGAAAACTAGGTTTACACTCGGGTCGTGAAGGGGATGGCAGAACAGGAGTTGGAATGGGCTCTTTCTTCTGCTCATCATTAGAGATCATGATGAGTTTAGGTTTTGTAGGCTCAGGTCTCACTGGTCTCATCTTGCGAGCGTGCGCCTCATATCGGTCCACTTCCTTAGTAGCGAGAGGTCTCTTTTCGGATGACCTCAGTATACGAGGACTAATAATTAGGACCTCCTCTCGAGCTGCAAAATACAATGGAAATAAGTTAGAAATTTTGATTCAAAAGGTCAAAAAAATTTGAAGTCTTGAAGATAGGCGACCTACAAAGTGCAGGCGAGCTACATCGTACAAGTGGGCTAACAAAGCCCGCTAATCAAAGCAGAGCTCGCTACAAGACAAAAGCTCTCCTGGTAGGCAGAAGCTCACCGATCAAAGCAAAGCCTGCCTATCAAGTAGAGCTCCCCAAACAGCTGAGCTCACCTGATAAAGACAAAAACTCGCCAATCAAGCAAAGCTCACATATCAAGCAGAGCTCGCCAGACAGCTGAGCTCGCCATATAAAGGTAGAAGCTCACCAATCAAACGAAGCTTACCTAATGAAAGCAGAGCTCGCCTAACAAGCAAGCTCGCCTAAATAGCAGAACTCCGCCGGAGTAGACGAAGTTCGCCACAGAAGATGAACAAACACTGTTCATCTTCCCAGTCTCATTCGTTCACGAGTTCATTTCAATCCCACAGTTCTTAACTTACCATCATGAGTTCGGGTCACACAAGAGGTGGCTGTAGTGGCAACAGCAATGCTAAGAGCGGGAGAATAGGAAGTTGTCCTCTTCCCCTTTGAGACGAGCATCTTCTTAGGTGCCATCCTATGATTAGGGTTTGAAGAAAAGGGCTCTAGTTTTCTTTAAAAGATTAATCGAGAAATTTCGATAGCACAGTAACCTCCCGATGAGGGAGATGAGTGCTTCATACACGCGAATCTCAACGGCTAAGATTCGCCAACTCAGTTGAAAACGAGCAGCTCAGATCGCCTACAACGGTTCAATTCGACAGTTTGAATCAAACGGCCACGAGCGCGGCGTGACGTTCGGAATTCCAAACGAACGATCAAGAGTTAGTAGTTCAAGTTGTACGGCCATCATCGCTCGTCGCAACAATGATCGAGATAGAGTGCGTCACCGGATCAAAGGCTCAGATCAAGTGCTGAAGACGAGGCGCCCCTTAGCTGGAGAGCGTAAGAAACCGCCCACAGACACGTAGCTAGGCAACCACCAACTTGGACCCCGTCTGTAATGATCTTGCTCGCCTGCAAGCACGAAGCTCACCTGCACATTTGGAGCTTGCCTGCCAACGTCTTAAGATCGCCTAAAGTCTCAAGCTCGCCTACACTTCATCGAGCTCACCTGAAGAGTTAAATTCGACCAAGGGGCTCAAATACACTCAAACCAATGAACAGTGATCCCCTTCTTCAAAGTGTTCAAGACCACATGCCACCTGATTTAGGTTTGAAAACTTTGAAGGTAGTTTTGTAGGTGATAAAAATTGCCTTTACACAAGAGAACTCAAACCTTGCCTATTTGAGCTCACCTGTGTGCTCAAAGCAAGCAAAGCTCGCCTGCATTCAAAAGGCCAAGCAAAGCTGGCCTGCGAACTTGGCTTGCTAGCCCCAGTCAAGCTCGCTTGCATTCAAGAGGCCAAGTTGAGCTCGCTAGTTTGTTTGACTCGCCAACACGAGTCAAGCTCGCCTATTTGTTTGACTCGCTAGAACGTGTCAAGCTCGCCTGGATGTTGAGCTCACCTGCATGAGTTAACCCCGCCAGATTGCTAGACTCGCTTGCACAAGTCAAGCTTGCCTGATTGATTGACTCTCCAGCACGAGTCAAGCTCGCCTGAATGCTTCACTCACCCGCACGAGTTAATCTCACCTGCAGGAGGTTCACCAGCATGAACTGAGCTCGCCAGACAGGATGAAGCTTGCCAAAACGCTTAAGGGATCCATCAGCCAACCTTGCCTATAGCTAAGCTCGCCTGCAAGGTCGCCTGAACGTTTAGACAACATCCAAGCTCGCCTGCAAGCCCGCTAGCCTCGCCTGAGCGGTGCAAACTGCTACTTGCTTGTGGGAGTAGGCATTCCCACTTCCCACGTTTTTAGGGTGATGAAGCATGGCTCTCATCACCCCTAAGTGGTCACATCACATAGCTATAGGGGAGGGCATGATGCTCCTCACTTAAGTGGTCACATTCCACAGCTAGAGGAGGGCATGGTGCTCCTCACCTATTAGTAGTCACATCCCACAACTTAAGGGGGAACTAGACTTTCCCTTGCCTATTTAAAGACTTTCTTTGCCAATGTCAAAGAGGTCTTTCTCCTGGCTGGTGTTTAAACTATTCAAGCAGAGACCTATATTGGCTGGCTTGGTCGAGTATTCTTGGCTATAAGCATGGATTGTTGAAATAGACTCAATCTGAACTCTCAGATTTGAGACTCTTGGCTCTTTGCAAACTCTTGCATATTATCCTTCTCTAAGCATTCGGTCTTGATACTCATCAAACTCGGGTATAATCAAACTCAATCACACAAGAGCTTCTACTACATACTGAAGCTCACCGTAATTTCGATCGGATTGTCCAAGGGAAGCAAACTCGACGCAAACATTTGAGGGAGGCGTCCTATCGCTACTGAAGAACCCACGTTAAATAAGAAGAGCATTCTTTTCGCTTCTGTTGTAATATTTTTGATTCTTGATTTGTACTAAGTAATTCTTATCAATACAAATCTCCATTAAAAATCAAAGAAACTTTTACGACCTACACTCATGATAAATTCCATTAAATGCATAATCGGTGCCATCATTTCTCTGTCGTCAATAGTCTTTATGACACATCGGATCACGTCGGCACTGCACACCTCCAGTCACTTCACATTAAACACAAAAGTGGCCCCCACTCCACTCATCGTCTGACACTTGTAAAGCAGATGCTATCTTGGCCACCATCCCATACTCGGTCGAAGTTACCATCTTACCCCTCTACTACCACTATAAATAGGGGTACTATTTTCAAAAAATAAGGTAATATCTTTATGTCTACACATTGTGCTTAAGAACTTCTACAGTTTAGTTACTTCTCCACTCAAGAAAATTACTGACTTGATCATCGAAGGAACAACTAGAGAACCCAACTATGCCCTCTTACAATTTTCTACCTGTGCAGGGAAAACAACCCACTTCAGAACCGGACATTCGGAGGGTTAAAGGGCCTCCGTCAACTAAATAACTTTCCTTATTGACTGTTTGATATCAGCCATCAATAATATGTATTTGAATGAAATAGATAATAAGAGTATAAAAGTGTGATAACATGTGATTATCAATAGGGTTGACGGTGTTCATTTCACAACTCTCCTCAGGTATCGGGACATCAATGAAGCACAAGTTAATTTTATTTAAACTACACTATTGACATTATACATTCATTGCATATTTTCTGAAATAAATTTTTTTTGAAGAATAAATCTAAGAAATAATAGCAAATTGAAAAAGATGGAAGCATGACCACCACTTGGACATGCACTCCTATGCTAACCTACAAGAATGTTATTATCGAGATATGATATAGTTATTTTAAGTTTTAATTCTCTTAATTCTCAATATGACCATCAAGTCTAATAAATTATAAATTGACAAGGAAAACCAATAATGCTGCTAAATGTAAAGGCTAAGCTAGCTTATGGTAGTTCCACTCAACTGATAAAGATGAAGATAAGATCAAGACAAACATCAAGTTGGTGGTAAAACTTATTTAGAAATGTTAACTAAAATTTCTTTAAAACTTATTTTAATTTTTCTTTCGTTCATTCCCAATGATGTAATTTTTTTAATCTTATTTATGATTCAGGAAAGTTTTGATGCTGCAATAAAGGAGGAAACAACCTGCGCATTTCTTAGGAGGAAGTAGAAGGTGAGCCAGACTTTCACATGCTATCTCCAGAGGAAGACATCAGTCTCACTCAAAATCTATTGGGATATAATCGGTAAGGAAGATTTCCATTACATGGTGTAAGACTTCACTAGGCATAAGCAAAAGATCCTTCATGGTGTCCTTAGTGTTATCTACAACATCAAAGGCATCCCTGGCCAATATTTTTGCTATGCCACTTGTTCTACATGTCTCAACCTATTTGCATGGGAAGATTTACTAAGAACTACATGTTTGAGTGACCAAGGAGTTGACTTACATTGTAACAAGGGCCCACCCAATAGATAAAGTCGTAGCTCACTTTATAAATTGCTTGGCCAATATGATCCCAGCTTCTCCGTTTGGAGATATTATACCACTTTTAGACTTGCGAGCCAACAATACCGCATTTGGGCAGAATAGTGCACAAGTATGTTATTTCTATGTTAATGCTAGGTCCTATGCATATTAATCCCTTAAATCCTCAATAACTGCATATTAGTCCCTCAAATCTTAGAAATTGCATGATAGTCCCTTAAGATCTTCAATATTTACAATTAGTCCCGTGAAACTGAAAACCAACATTTGTTGGTGCACATCACATGTTTCTTTCTCAAGTGGTCCAGAGATACAAATTTTTGATATGAATATGTTTTATAAAATACGTCATACTATCTTATGTGTAACCTTGCTTTCATGCATTTTATATACCTACAGAACTAATGCATCACTGAAGATTTAAGGGATTAATATCTAAAAAACCTCTTTATATTAACATTAATTTGATGTATTGTTAAATTTTATATGATTCTAAATATAATTGGAGTAAATAGCAGTGGCGTGCATAGGAGGGACAGAGCAGCTGCGGCTGATGAGATTTGATAGCAACTATTTATTTGTATCTTATGGATGAGATAGTTTTTATCTGTAGGAGTACTCCTTGCTTATATTTTTTTTGAACTGAAGAAGCAGGAAAAAAAATTCTTGCTCATATTATA